GGCTGGTCTGAAGCCCCCAGTACAGGCCTTTATACAAGCCTCTGATTAAAAATCTAACTGGTGATCTCCAGTGGACGATTTTACACGCCGCCATCGCCACTAACTGGTTTTTATCGCTTATTAATCGGGGTGTTTTAAACTAGTGTCCTTTCTACGGTCTGTCTGAAAACGTCTTCCATGTTTTTATGGAATCCACAAGACTAAAGACCATTTTTAACCTTTTAATTTTGGGTTTTTAGTCTTTTTTTTTTTTTTTTTTACAAACATCTCTTTTTTATAGGAGGAGTTTTCCAGAATAGGAAAAATAAGAATTATTAAAAATGTTTTAATCAGTGATGCAAAGATGGCCGTTTATTGTCCCTTGGAGACAGACTGCAGGTGTGAGCTCAGCTTGACGCCGCGGCTCTGAGGAGGTTAGAGCCAGACTAAAGCTGGAGTTTAACTTCCACAGAGACACGCAGAACATGGAGGATTTATTCAGCTGTGGGGGTTTAACAACATTTGATGATGGAGAATTACAATTTAACAATATCCTCATTTAATGATTTTTAGCTGACACTTGTTTTTACCTTAAAATTGATTTTTAACTGACTTAGTTTTACATCTTTAATTGATACCATTGTTTGATTTGTGTAAATAACGAAATGTGATGGTCCACCGTTGCTCTTCATTCGTTGATGCTGGTTCCAGCTTTCCTTTTAGAGATTCCCAAACCCGAGAAATGGCGATGCAGCCCTTTCAGCACTGATAGAGGACGTTGTGTGATGCGTTGCTTTTGGAGCTAATTTAACCACCTTCATGTTCATTTTTGATGATGCTACCTGCTAAGCCACGATCAGGTCTTGATGTAGATAATAAAATAAACTTGAATTCACTTTTATTCTCTTTATTTTCTCAGGTTATTGTTGTCAGGTGTTTATATTTATTTTTTATTGATTTATTGATTTGACAGGGTCAGTGTACATTAATAAGCATTCCTGCAAATGCAGCAAAATTAGCCAAAAGACTATTTTTCATCTGTTGTCCCCGGACAGATTTTAAAATTGTCTAAACCTAAAAACAAAACAGTAAGAATTTTACAGTGAAAAATACAAACATGAAAAGAAATAAAAACGGCTATAACTATTCAGAACTTGTTTAAAAATACAGAATTAATGTTCGCTGGGCTGCGGATTTTAGGTTAATAAAATAGAATAAAACACTCAAATAAAAAGTGGCAGCATGGTTTGTTAATTGAATCAATGTTGATGTAAATGACGTGTTATGAGCCCGTTTTTTAGATACTTTTTAAAAAGCGTGAATGTTGTAGAATCTCTGATGTTCTGAGGGACATAGTTCTTCTCCTGAGCTGCTGCGACTGCAGAGGCTCTTTGACTGAAAGCACTTTTAGTGGAGAAAACACGGTCTCCTCTGGACGACCCTCCTCTATTTATTGGATGACTGAAAATATTCAACCATGAAGAATGCTGCTGGAGATTCTCAGTCATCCAGGTCAGTCATTCCAAACAGTAAAGTTAAAAATCCAACCACTGGACTTTGTTTTCATATATTAAGGGCTAGTTTTCCAGTTTTAATTTGCCTGTTTTCTATAAAACCTGGAACTCAACGCTAAGTCAGACATTTTGAATTTAAACAGCTTCCTGGATGGGAAGAACGTCTTCAAACTTGGAAAAAAAAAGTCCAGTGGATTGTTTTTTTAACTTTGAGTTTTTGGAACAACCATAAGAAAACAAAAAAAAAACAAAAGAAAACATGGATAAAAGAAATCTTAAAGAGGGTAAATCCCTCTACGGGCAGTGATGTTCTCCCAGCCTTCTATCACACCGTCTGGGCCACAGTGCCCTTCGTCTGAGGAAAAGTGTTTGATAATGTGTCATGTTGTGGGAAATAAATAGTGAAGCAGAATATCCGCACGATAAAAGCCAGAATAACCGCTTGTTTCTGCAAACCTCCAGCAGCACTTACCTAACCAGGAGGGATGAGCTTTAGCCTGCCGGAAGTCTTTCTCATATTCTCTAAAAACCACTTTCTTGTAGGTGGAATCTCTTCTGAGGAATGGAGGAAAAATAAAACACATTAGTTATCAAGTTTAGTAATAGTTAACATACACAGCTCTCCTATGGAGATCCGAGCTGGTCTTTTCCACCTCTGGGGGGTTCATGCAACCAGCGATGGCCGAATAGTGACCCATAATGCTGCGGCTCACAAAAATCCTCCAGCTGTGTGACTGGAGGCTCCAGGTTCATTTTCAGCTGAAATATCTTATAGAAAACATTATCTGAAGGACGTTATCTGTTGTTGTGGAGCAGATGTGATCCATCCCAGTGCAGCTTTGGTTCATGAATTTGTTTTTTAAAAACTCCTCATTTAGTAGCTGCTAAGTTGGAGTTTTTCCACAGTTTCAGCTAAGCTTAACTCATAGACCACATGAGTTCAAGTTTAAGTTAGAGAGATCTCCTCTAGTACGTGTCTAAACCCTTTAGCTCCTTCTGCTTAATTAGGAGACGGGTAACAATAATGTTAAAAACAAAATGCACAAAAATCCAGTTCCTGAAACTACGGAAGAGGATTAGGGCCACTGAAAAAAAAAAAACGTTAACTGATTTTTACATTTTATTTCAGTTTAGTATGGGAAAAAAAAACTTTATCTCAGAATTCTGACTTTTTATTCAGAATTCTCAGAATTCTGACTGAATTCTGACAATAAAAAAGTCAGAATTCTGCAAAAAAAAAGTCAGAATTCTGACTTTTTTCCCATACTAAACTGAAATAAAATTTAAAAATCAGTTATTTATTTATTTTATTTTTCAGTGGCCCTAATCCTCTTCCGTATGAAACCCAGTTGCTGCCCAGAAAGTTGACATGTCCCCGCACATCCTGCACAGGGGGGTGGTTTACCATTAGACAATACTAGGCAGCTGCCTAGGGCCCCAAGTTCCTGGGGGCCCCATAAAACTCTGTTTCCATGTATGGTTAATATAACTATTCCCTATTTGTGCACATTAATTATGTTTTTAATAAAAATCCTTTCTCTAAAATGCCATCAGAACGCTGATAATATTAAGTGTGTCTCAGCCCCCCCCTTCAGTGTCCCCCCCTTCAGTGTCCACCATATTGGATCAGTCCATTTGCTGCACATGTTCAGAAAGGTCCAAACAGACAGCAGCAAACCATTTGAAAACAAACCATGCAAAGAGCAGTGTTGCCAACTTAGCGCTTTAGTCGCTATATTTAGCCACTTTTCAGACCCCTCTAGCACTTTGATTTCTAAAAAGCTCCTAGCGCCAAATCTAGAGACTTTTTTCTGCTACTGGAGACTTTGGAGACAACATCTAAAAGCAGCGAACTCTGCTCTCCAGAGCGAGTAGATTGGTAACCCCGCCTCCTGCTCTCCTCTATCTTGTCTGCTGTCATGATTCATGCAGCTATTATTTCATCCAAATGAAAAATGGAGAACAGATAAGCAGATCATGGCTTGTCTACAGTGAAAAGAAGGACTGGGTTATTTACTTTGGCCTTTTTGGAAACACAGGAAGGAGCAATCAGCTAAGTGAGCTTAGTGCTTGGAAAAAATCTTTCATTCCTTTAGAGACAGCATGAAAAGTCAGCTGAGTACAAAACATAGAGAGGAAAACAAGAAGAAAAGGGACAAGAAGAGAGGGACACAACCTAGAACAGATAATGGATGTCTATTCTATTAACATTTCTACATCTGGAGAATGGGGCTGTTTATGGGGCAGGGGGCCCCCTGCCTGTCTTTGCCTAGGGCCCCATATTTCCTAAATCCGCCCCTGCTCCTTTTCTTTGCATGCAGTTTGCCTCATTAAAGAGTTTAAAATGATAAATTAATAATTATTCAGAGAGAATAAGAATTATTTATCAAAGAATTATAAAAAATGAAGATGGTTCCATATCAAAATGAAAGCTTGATAAAGCTTGAGGGCCCCCCCCCCCTCTGACCCCCCAGCAATAAAAGCCAATAATAACAATGTTTATTACTATGTAATGCTTTCACTCTCACGTCCAAAGCAGCACATGTTGATCATTTTTATTATTTCAGAATATTTCCATGATTGACAGCTCACTCAGTACCTGTTGGATTACGCCCTAAACGCCAACGCTAAAAACATCAGTAATTATTCAATAATAAACGCATTATTCTGCTGTATGTTTGCACCTTAAAAGGACCAAATCCAATGAATATTAAACACTGCCTTTTATTTCTTAACCATCATTGACCCAAAGTTCCTGGAAAATGGCTTCCCTTCCCTCCTCAAATCACAGGCTGCAACCATACATGTGTCTAAAATGAAGGGAAGCTAATAGAAAGCATTGGAGAACTGGTAAATTCACATATTTCTATGACTTAAATTAAAAACAAACAGATGTGATACAAATGGTGATTGATTTCTAGCCCACCTGTTGGTGTCATTGCCAGAATAGTTCCAGTCTATCTCTACAGCAGCGATATAGTAGTGTCTCTCTCTGGATCCCAGCTGCTCCGCTTCCACACTCAGTGCTGCCAGTAGAAGCAGGACATGCAGGACGGCTCCAGGCCAAAGACACAGCTTCATGTCTGGGATGGATCCTCCAGGTGAAAGCCGCTCCGTGCCACAAGTCTGTTTGGCTGTGATCTGTCAGAGAGGCAGGGCTCTGTGTTTTTATCTGTCACTGACACACACACACACACTGGGACACACTCATGCACCCGTCTGTTTCCAAACATTATGTCCCGGGGCAATGAACTCAGCTCTGCTCTTTTCCCTCTCTTGTAATTGCAGGCGAATGTGTTTACTCCTGAATCATCCCTGTGGTCGTGCCCATCCCATCCTCGCTGTGGGGAGGAGTGTTGAAACGATCCCTCAGAATATAAAGTTAGATCCACATGCTGCAGATCCAGGCCGGGGTTTTCCCTCACACTGATTGGGCGTTAAGACAGAGACAGAACACACATGTTTATTTGTACATATGAATCACAGCTCTGAGAAAAAGAAAAAATGTTTAAACTATAACTACACAAACTCTCTGTGTAATAATGTAACACGTTTAATGTGGTCTGTTTCCTCGCTATGACTGATCCTCTGCAAATGAAAAACAAATATCTACAAAAAAATGTTTCCTTCAAACTTTGGAGTTTCTCAGATTGCTCAGTTAGAGGCTCAGTTTGGGAATCATAGAGTCAGACCTCCTCCTGTGGCCTGCTGGGAAATCATAAAGCTGTCAGTCAAACTGTCAGGAAGAGAACTGTGCCCCCCCCACAGAAGGTCTGGATCATCCTTGGGTCCAAACTCTGGATACCTGAAGGCCAGAGGCTCAGCCAGGACATTTTATAAGGGTGTCCATGTAATAACCAATGAACAGTGATGGGGGGCTGAAAGC